TCAACAAAAATAAAAAGTAGCATTCTTGGCAGATCAAGAGGCCATCACAAACATAACGCCCAGACAGGGCCAGAAGGTACAGAAACACAAAAGAAAAAAAAAAAAAAAAAAAAAAAAACACACACACAACTCCCCCTGAGTTTAATCACTCCCCCTTTTTGCCAAAGATAGACAAAGAACCATTCAAGCATTCGAGGGCGCATCACTGTCGGACTTCTCGTTATCAGCAGCAGCAGACTCAGTCAGGCTCAGACGAAGCAGAACAGTTGCAAGTTTAGTACGGGCCGCAGTGAGTTGCTTCGCAATGATTCCATTAACAGTTTCCAGTTCAGACACCCGAGCTTTTAATCTAAGGGAGAGCTGAATGTCCCTCGCATGTAGCGAGTCATCAACAGGAGTGTCAGCATCAGAAGATGGAGGCGCAGCCACAGGTGTAACATCTCGGATATGCTTCCCAGTCAAGAGCTGGTGATCAACAGTGTAGAGCAGAGTTAGATAGATAATCTCGCTTGGCATGGGGACCAGGCCCTGCGTTGTCAGAACTCCAAAAATGAGATTAGGATACGACAATCATACCTTTTGTTCCCTCAGATGAATCAAGGTGAGGAAATGATAGAAGATCCACTTCCCCAGATCAATGGTCACTTTGGTGCCAATTCGGAATAGTAGAGCAGCTAGTTGCTTGCCAACCGTATGAAAATGAGCAGAAGGTAGCCAATTGTGTAAGGCAATACGGTGCAGAATAACATATCTGGAGGTGAGCTTCGAGCTAGACAGAGTATCAACATCACCTGTAGGCCATATAGGAGTCTGACCACCAGTGAGGGTCCTTGCAACTAAATCCCAATCCGTAATCTCGTCCTCATCAACAGCTTTCAGACCATAATACTCATTAATCACGTCCGGACCAAAAACATACCATTTTCCTCTGATGAAAATCTGCATGCACCGAGTCCCCGTAAGATTTTCAATTTCTTCATTCAGATTACAGTAGAACTCGTAGGTCAGCAGCTTGGAGTAAGGGCAAATAGAAGTGATAGTCTTCAGGAGGCCAACTTCACTGTGCAAGGGCAGAATGTCACAGACAGAATTCAACTGATTCTCATCAACCGATCGCTGAACAATAAGTTCCCGTCGAACCATCGTAGACCATTTTGCTTGAGCTGTAGCAGAAACAAACTGAGGTTTGTAAATCGATGTGTCAGGGTTGTCCGAAGCAGCTTGGACATCAGGCATAACACTCCTTCCTCTCGACCTTGTAGTTGGTTTCATCTTTCTGGTAGATGTGTTGGTGACCGTAGCAGGTGCCTTGTTTTTGACAGACGATCGCAGAGTTTTGAAAACCTGTTGAACAGGTTGATCACTTTTAGCCTTGATGGTTTCAGCAGACCGTCTCATTTTCTCAGGTTGAACTGTATCAAGATTATCATCACCTGTCTCAATGGTGACTCTCTCAGGAATACCTTTGTGCTTCGATGTTCTTGTCTCTCTGGATGGAGAATGATCGGTTGGACTTGGTTAAACCGAGTGACTTGTTTCAGACACAGGAGCAGACGAGGAGCCAAGAAGATTGGAGACTTCTCGAATCTTGAAAGAGGTCGAGTCTGGATGTGCTGTTGCTTCCACAGTAAGGGGTACAGACAACTAAGCTTGAGGACCATAAACTTCAGCCAGTATCTTCTCATCATCACTGTCATGCTGTACAGGAGGATCATCAGGGTGAATGACTTTATAAGGTTCTGGTACAGAAGCAGATGGCAAACCGGCAAAGTGACGGATGTGGTCAAGGCTCTCAACCATAGGGTTTGAAGTATAAACAGGAATTCCATCAATTTGATCAGAGGAACGAGGGCTTGAGAGTCTGGCAGCCTCAATTTCAGTCGACACCTTAGGAGAAACATCTACCGGGCAAACTTCAACCGGTGACTTAGCAGCATCAGAGATGGGTAAAACAGGAATAGCAGATCGTGCAATATCAGCAGAGTACACAACTAGACTCAACTTGTCCACCTTATCATCAGAATCACTGTTATGGACAACTTTTGCAGACTCCAAATTTTCAAAAGATACACGAGGAGGATCATCAGACACAGAGGATTTCTCAGACAAAAAGACATTCTCATTATCTGATTGAGAAACAGGCAGAGCAGATTCAATAGCATCAAATATTAAATCATCAGGCTTATCAGGAGATATCTCAATAGGGGTTTCAGAAGTATTAGACCTGTTACGAAGAATCTCGATACAGTGTGTGGCTTCTTTCTGTGCAGCTTGAAGAGAGAGAGGTTGAGCCGCTATCCGTCGACGCGAGATTTCTTCGGATTCCAGAGCCCTTTGGGCAAAATATTGGAGGAAAGCCCCAGCACGGTTACCATCTTCAGGCTCAGGAGTGGTCGCAGGGCTAACATCATCACTCGCTTCGGAGGCCAACATCAAGAAGTCGCTTGTATCTTCGTCGGACCAATCCGCATAGAACTTCGGGTAATCTGAGAGCACTGTGACCACGATTTCATCGCGGAGATCAGGGTCAAGCTTCAACTTCTTTTTCATAGCGAGTTGGATAAGAGTTTTGACATGCTTCATGGCTGTCTCTGGTGAATGAACTTTCCTTCCCAGCTTTATGATAATATTTCTCACTGCATCCGCCATTGTTGTGTGACACAATGGTATAGCTCCTTTTTAGGGATTAAACGGATGATTTGAATTTTGAAAGAGGCGAATTAAATTTTGGTAACCAAGGTTAAGACAATATCTTAACATAAACAGAAGAGAGATTAAAAAGGAAGTCAAATATGTAATTTTGACCGTGAATGTGACCACCATACACTCTCCTTCTGTGTCATCATCCTGCCTTATTGATCAATCCTGCGGATTCCCAGAGCAGATCTAAGAATCTCAAACCGATTTGCGTCTAGAGGCTTAGTCAGTATGTCAGCCAATTGCTTATCTGTTTGAATATATTCCAATTTTATCTCCTTTGACTCTACCAAGTCTTTGATATAGTGATGCCTTATATCAATATGCTTCGTTCTGGAGTGTTGAACTGGGTTCTTTGAAATATTTATTGCACTGACATTGTCACAGTAGAGAGTCATAGTCCTTTGTGTTAGACCATAATCTAGAAGCATTTGCTTCATCCAGACTAACTGAGTGCAACATCCTCCGGCTGCTATATATTCTGCCTCTGCAGTACTTAGAGAGATAGAATTCTGCATCTTGCTTAGCCATGAGACTAAATTTTTTCCAATAAAGAAGCATCCACCTGATGTACTTTTTCTGTCATCTATGTTACCTGCCCAGTCAGCATCACAATATGCACTTAGACAGAGTTCACTGTCCTTGGAGTACCATAACCCATACTGAATTGTGCCCTTGATGTATTTCAAGATCCGTATAGCAGCTATCAAATGTGACTCTTTGGGATCGGATTGATATCTTGCACACATCCCAACACTGAACATAATATCTGGTCGACTTGCAGTCAGATATAGCAAACTTCCAATTAGGCTTCGATAGACTGTGTTATCAACTGATGCGCCAGTATCATCTTTTGACACCTTTGTTGAAGTGGAGATAGGGGTTCTGGGAGTTTTACATGACTCCAGATCGAATTTTTTGACCAAATTTTTTACATATTTTTCTTGTGAGATAAAGTAGCATTCAATACTCTGTTTGACTTGAAGTCCTAAGAAATAAGTCAGTTGACCTACCATGGACATTTCAAATTCTTCCTTCATAACCTTCACTAAGTCATCAGTATATTTCAGTAGAGTTGATCCGAAGACAATATCATCTACATAAATCTGAGCTATAGTCACATGACTTCCAGTAGTTTTAACAAACAAGGTCTTGTCAACACTCCCTCGGCTATACCCGTGATGTAGTAGACATTGTGTCAGACGTTCGTACCATGCCCTTGGAGCTTGTTTAAGCCCATAGAGAGCTTTTCTAAGCTTATAGACATACGTCGGATGAACTGGTTCTTCAAAACCTTTAGGTTGTGCTACATAAATATCTTCATGCAGATACCCGTTCAGAAATGCTGTCTTAACATCCATCTGAAATAGTGTGAAACCCAGAATACATGCAACTGCCAATAGAATTCTGATTGACTCTAATCTTGCAATCGGAGCAAACGTTTCATCATAGTCAATACCCTCAATTTGTGTATATCCTTGAGCAACCAACCGAGCTTTGTTTCTTGCAATATTTCCAGCTTCATCAGTTTTATTTTTGAAGATCCACTTTGTTCCGATTATGTTAACACGGTCAGGCCTTGGTACAAGATCCCACACATGATTGCGGTCAAACTGATGTAGCTCCTCCTGCATAGCCTTAATCCATATATCATCGTGCAAGGCTTCCTTCACATTCTTTGGTTCTATTTTTGAGGTGTAGCAGGAAAGTCCGACTTCTGGTGTTCATTCCATCTGATGGATTGCCAATGATGTTGTCTAGTGGATGATTTTTCTGTGTTCTGGTGGGCTTATTCTTACCATCACCATCCGATAGAAAGTTCTCATGTTCTGGGCTTTCTTTATCTTCGTCTGATGAGTCATGTGTGTCAGGCAGTTGGTTTTGTGAGCTGTTTCTAATGACTCACTGATAGGAAGGTCTGTCTCTGGATCAATCACTGATGTTTCTTCTTATTCTCCTGGGTTATCATCGATAACAACGTTCACTGATTCCATAACTGATTGAGTTCGTTTGTTGTAAACTCTATAAGCACGACTGTTTAGAGAGTATCCAAGAAAGATGCCCTCATCACTCTTGGGTTCAAACTTCCCCTTTGTTCCCTATCAATTAGAACATAGCATCTTGTGCCAAACACATGGAAGTACTTCAGATTCGGCTTCTTCCATTTTCCATATCTCATATAGTGTCTTAGTCGTGCCTGGTCTGAGATAGAATCTATTCACTGTATGACATGCTGTGTGCACTGCTTCAGCCCAGAAACGTTGTGGTAGATGCGATGCGTGCAACATCACTCTGGCCATTTCCTACAAAGTCCTATTCTTTCTTTCCACTACACCATTCTGTTGTGCTGTTCTGGGAGCCGAGAACTCATGAGCTATTCCATTTTCAGAGTAGAAATCTGAGTATAAGGAATTTTCAAACTCTTTCCCATGATCACTTCTCAGTCTTTGAATTTGTATGATGGACTCGTCCTTTTCTTTTTGTACTCTTGTGCATAGAGTCTTGAACGCATTGAATGCCTCAGATTTTTCTCTCAGAAAGTATACCCAGCTGAAACGAGAGAAGTCATCTACACACACAAAGATGTATTTCTTTCTGCCAATGCTTTTAGACTGAGTTGGTCCCATGAGGTCTATATGGACCAGTTCTAGACATCTCTCAGTAGTGATCACTTTTACTGCTTTGTGAGGAGCCCTTATTTGCTTTCCAATGGCACATGCACCACAAACTCCTTCATGTTCTATTTTGAGCTTAGGTATCCCACGAACAGCATCTAATTTGATCATTTTTTTCCATATCTCTGAAGTTTATGTGACCCAATCGTCGATGCCACGGTTTTGATTCGTCTGTTGTAGAATGTAGACATGCTGTTTCATTAGTCAGAACATAACAGTTGTCAGAGGATCGTGTTCCTTCCATCACCACTTGATCTGCTTTATCACGGACTCTGCAGTAGTCACGATTGAAGCACACATTCCAATTTTGATCACATAGCTGACTGATGCTAATAAGATTTGCCTTCAGACCACTGACTAGGAGAACTTCGTCCAGATGAGGCAATCCTGGTACATTTAGAATACATTTTCCCACTATCTTTCATTTTTGTCCGTCGCCATATGTTACTGACCCACTATTAGGTTGAACAGCCATGAGACACTTGACATTCCTAGTCATATGTCTGGAACACCCATTGTCAAAGTACCATATTGCCTCAGTCATAGAAGCAGTCAGAACCACTGTGGGATAGCATATTACTTCTGATTTCCTGACCCAAACCTGTTTTGTGAAGGGGGTAATAAACTTATTCTGATATTTCTCCTTCCTCTGATCTCTATAGAAGAAATAACATTCAGGTCGGGTGTGACCTTTTGTTTGACAGTAGTGACAGGTGGGTACGTATTGTCTAACTTTTACAAATTTAGTCTTGAACTTTGAGTAATGAGATAGAAATTTTACTTTGCCAGTTTCAGTTTCAGCATTCTGGGTGTGCATAATTCCTTTCTGCTTTATCTGTACTGATCGTGATGTCTGACCTTGTTCATAACTGTGGACTGATTTACCAACTGATGTACCTTCTTTGATAAACACTGGCACTGTCTTTGAGGACTCACCACGTTCAAAACCGAGTCCCTTTTTATCATTGGGGTTTCGGCCAGAATCCAGGATTTTGTCTAAGGTAGAAGTGGTATCCATCATCTTGATGTTCTTCTTTAGATCTTCCAGCTCTTTTATCAATTTTCCCTCTCGCGATCTTATCTGAGTAATAAGATCTTCTTTTGTGACAAGTTCAGTGTTTAGTTTCTTCAGGAGATCATCTCGCTGCTTCAGGTCTTCATTCAGACTCTTGTTGACTTTCACTAGTTGTTCCCAACTTCCAACTAGTTTGGCAAATTCCAGTTCCAATTGTGTATGTCTCTCTTCAAAGTCATCTAATGATATGTATGATTCTTCATCGGTATCATTCTATTCTGATTGGTTTTCTGTTGCCGTGAAGAAGGCCACGAAGTTTCCCACATTATCATCAGACTAGACATTTTCTGAATCATCTTCATCATCACTTAGGGTCGCCACTGACATAGTTTTCTTTCTTTTGAGATAGGTTGCACATTCAGATTGTATATGTCCGAATCCTTCACACTCTCGACATTGCACTGATCGGTTTAGAGGTCAAACTGTGTCAGTTGGATTATTCTTGCTTTGTCTTGTTCGGCCACTCTGAGACTGATTGTTCTGCGAGAATGAGGGCGTTTCTGTTTTCTGATATGAGGATTTACCACTTTTGTATTGTGTCCTGTTAGGTTGTCCTTGACTCCTTCGGTTGATGCCTTTCAATATTTTCTTAAAGTTCTTTGTTAGCAGGGCCAAAGCTTCGTCATCTATTTCATCTGTGTCAGATTCTCGATCAGCTTCAGCAACAAAAGCTACTGACTTGCCCTTTTTGCTGGCTACAGGTTCGTCATCAGCTAGAACTTCAAGCTCATAAGTATGTAAACTTCCCATAAGTTCTCCCACAGGCTTCTTTTCCCAACCTGAGTGTTCCTGAATTGCAGTCACCTTCATTCTGAAACGTTTGGGAAGAGATTGAAGAATCTTTTTGACCACTTTTTCATCAGTAAAAGGTTCACCAAGAACAGAAGCCCTGTTCATCAAATTCTGAACTCGACTGTGAAAGGTTGAAATTGTTTCCTCTTCACTCATCCTGAGAGATTCAAACTCTGACAGAACCAGCTGAAGTTTTGACTGCTTGACATCACTGGTACCTTCATATCTGGTTTCAAGGGTGTCCCATACTCGTTTTGCTTCTTGTATCCCGGTGACAAGAGTAAAGACAGATTCATGCAGAGATCCTACAATAGAACTCAACGCCTTATTGTTTAGATCTGAGGATGTCATTTCTTCCTCAGTCCATGTATCAATAGGTTTGGCCTCAGCAGTTCCATCAGCATTCTGGATTGTTGGAGGACTCCATCCAGTGAGGACAGTACGATATACTCTGGTACCTTGTGCCTGAAGGTAAATCTCCATCCGTGCCTTCGAGAAGGAATAGTTGTGACCATCCAATTCTGGTGACTTCATACTAGCATCCATCCTGAACCAAAAGATACCCAGACAAAACACACGCGCCGAAGGCAGACAAACGCCCAACAGACCACACGAAAAAACAGCTTCTTAAAGAGAGAATAATGCAAAAAAAAAAAAAAAAAAAAAAAAAAAAAAACTTCCCGTAAGGATCAAGTCATTGTATAGACTTAAAAGCTCTGATACCACATGTAATTTTTCATTCCCTCATATTAAGATGATTATTATATATAAGCAACTGATATATTAAACTGACTGATGTGAAGATGTGTATTGTCAGTCAGATCGATAGATTGGCAATTAGTTTGTCAAGGAAAAACTAAAGCAAATAATAACAACACACATACGATGTTTACGCAGTTCGATATAGTGTGTATCTACATCTGGGGGACGATCACCGAGGTGTCCAATCCACTAACTCATAATCCAATGTACAAAGGTAGAGAAACAAGAATCTCACCCAAGTGCCCCACACAAGGTACGTACCCAGTCTACAAAGGTTTAGTGGATTGTTGAAGACGGAGAACCACGCATGCAGAAGTCCAATGAAATCCCTTCGGTTTGAGAGCTAACTCTGATGCAGTCCGCTTCAATGACGCAATCCCACGTTGTTCCCACAACTGAGTGATCTTCGCGTCCTTTCGTTTAAGCAACAATAGTTCTTCTCAAGTTCTTCAACATAATCACCAAGAACATATATTCTTGAGAAGAGGCATAATCAAAGATGTGATCTTCTGTATAGTCAAGAGTACTTTTTGTCTTCATAAAACGTAACCCTAATTCATAACCGAATGGGGGTACTTATACTTCCTTAGAAAAGCCACTCTCCAAAAATATCTTTGAATGTAGATGGTAGGACGATTTGTGAAGAATGCAATCTTAGAGATTCGGTCCATACCTTCCAAAACAGATCCGCTAATTTTCTTTCCAAAAGTCTTCAAACCGCGTTCAGAGTTTTCTGGAAACTTCTTCCTTTATCGGATCTTCAGTGTCAGTGCGTCTGTTGATATCTCTGATCAATCAGTCTTCTGTAGCAGCAAACAGACACCAAACTAAACCCTATCTTAGTTTGCCATAATAATATTGCCAATCATATGTTGGGGTTTTATGGAGAAAACAAAACACTAACAATAATAATAATAATAATAATAATAATAATAATAATAATAATAATAATAATTTTATTATTATTATTATTATTATTATTATTATTATTATTATTATTATTATTATTATTATTATTATTATTATTATTATTATTATTAAAAAATTCACAATTGAAAATTTAAAGTCCTTATTAGTAGAATTCTAATACACATACTTTTATTTTACTCGTTATATTTTATCATACAAATTGTTAATTAGTTTAGAGTGATCATATTTCTCTCTGTTCTCTTTTTTTTTTTTTTTTTCGTTTTTCCTTCTAGCAAATCAATTATAGCCAAATGGTGAGAGGTTATATTTTTGGGAGTATATATTATGTTTTCCATATTCATAACAGCATCATAAATAGTAAAAAAAAATTAAAATATTAAAATATTAAAATATTAACTAATACTCCATAGTATATTAATTGACTTCTACACAAATCTATATGATAAAATTATATATGCTAGTGATAACAAGTGAGAATATTATTATGCACAAAAATAATATTTCCTAAAAATAGAAACAGTTGTACATAATATTACTTTTTTTTTTTTTGAGAATACTATCAACTCTATTACCGTGTAAAAGTCAATACCCACAACTAGGGTTTGATACTGTAATCTTTTTTTTTTTTTTTAAGGAAAGCCATAGAGGTGTCAAGCTTGGTGTACATAATATTACTTATTTAACAAAATTATTCAGTTACAAAATTAAACCTATGTCTTTTATTTTCATTAGACAGCACGCAATATTAGTTTTAAAAGAAAATTGTATATTAAGTAACAGAATTTCTGAGCTAGTAGCATTCAAAAAAAAGTAATAGAATTTCTGAATGTCAAGATCCAGGCAAGTGCGCTGCTGTAATACATTTTAATTACTATTTTTTATACTTAGATATTTTCATTTTTAATTTGTTTAGTGTGTGTAAAATGGGCAAGTCTTGTATAAGATCATTTCACGGATCCTTATCCGTAAGATACATCATGTCAAGCTAAGATTGAAATATAATATTTATGTTGAGTAATATAATATTAATCAGGAATAAGTGATTTGCTCCTTATAAAGGAAATGTAATACTTTTAAGAAAAAATATAATATTTTTAAATGAAAATGTAATATTTAATGATTGAACAGTTATGTATGAGAAAAAATGTAGTAATAATCATGAATAAATTGATTGATTGTTACTTATAAAAGGAAATTTAATATTTATGATGAAAAATATGATACTGATGAAAAATGTAATTAAAATATAATATTAAAGATTAAAAAATTATTTATAAAGAAAATTATAATACTAATAAAAAATGTGTAATAATTATTTTTTTTTTTTTTTAAAAAGCCGACTAGTCTCACATATCATCAATTATACTGTGGACCGCGATCCATAAAGATTTGTGGACCATGGTCCAAAATGGCAGACACTATAGTGTATTTTAAATTGACACAGTCTTACGTATTATTTTTATTATATTATCAAATGAAACTACAATTGAATTGAGATGAAACTGTAGTTGTGTTGAAATGAAACTGCAGTGTATACAAAATGAAACTGAATAACAATTTCACATATTAGAGTTATATTGTCCAGCAAAATTGTAGTTATATTAAAATGATATCATAGTTGTGTTGAAATGAAACTGCAGTGTATATTTAATGTCTGGATCATAATGCATTGTGCACTGTGGTCCTAAGTATAATTTGCCTCTCACATATCCTAATAAGAAATTTTGCCTAGTAAAATATATTGAATATGAAGGACACAGCAGCATTTTAGCATGAGGCATCAGATTGATCTCCACCACATGTCCACATACATAACTTAATTCTGTATGAGTAGATATTTTCATTTTTGAAAAATTTGTTTTACTGCCCTTAAGATACATTGAATCTGGACACATCCATTTTGTTCCCTATAAAATCCCAGCCCAGGCAACTCAGCTACTCAACCAGATATCTTAATTTTCCCCTATTATTATCAGTAGCTCAGACCATTTCTATATGGCTCCAACCATTGCTGTGCCCTCCGTGAAGGCAAAAGAGATCCAACGGCGTAAAACTCCGGCGGCGGTGGAGGAGGAGGTGTTGAGGAAGAGGAACGAGGAACTGGAGAAGGAGTTGAGGAGGAGCCTAGAGAGAGAAGAGACGATGAGGCGAGAGTTGCAGAGGACGTGGGAGCGGTTGACGGTGGCGGAGGAGGCGGAGGAGCGGCTGTGCTCCCAGCTGGGGGAGGCGGAGGCGGAGGCTGTTGAACAGGCTCGGGCATACCAGGCTAGGGTTACATCGTTGATGGATCAGCTCTCCGCCGCACAGACAGGGCCGGTCCTATCATTTTATAGGCTCGGGGCGTAGGAACACAAATGGGCCCTACATAAAATTAATATATATTTGCATAACTACATAAAAAGTATATTAATTACAAATAACTTGAAATAAGATATACAAGTTTTTAACAATTTTGCATATAGAGTAATAATATTGAAAACAACTCTAGATGTGTTGGTTAGTTATAAATGAATTTCCTTTGTTGGCTTAAAAAAATTACAAAATATTCAATAATTGCATATGTGACTTCATAAATAAAGAATTCTAATTTATAAAAGTAGATAAAAAATTTAAAACCAAATAAACTTATAGACAATCACATTGTTATTATAATAAAAAATAAAGTAATTATTAATCAAAATTATAAAACACAACTTACAAATAAGAGTAAAACATGAAATCTTAATTATTGATGCAATAAATAAAAAACACTTTAACATTCAAAAAAAAATAAAAATAAAAAACACTTTAAAAGTGAGAAATGATATTCATAACAAAATATGAAACATGATTAATTAGATAAAATAGTTCGAATAGAAAACACATTATAAATCATGCATATTCTCTATTGGTATCATATTTATAAATATTTTTTTTTAGTTAGTTAGATCAATTTCAAGTCTTTTTTAGATTAATTTGAATAGAATGATGTATAATAGAACTTCTAAACAACATTGATTAGATAATTCATAAAAAAATAAATTATCTTTTAAAATAATTTCATAACTAAAACACAAAATATATTACATATACATAAATCATTATAAGGTTCACAAAATAACACATGTTCTAAATATTAGTAAATTACTCAAATAGAAATAGATTCAAAACTTGTTTTAAATCACAAAACAATCTATATTATAAATCTCACTATTATAAATATAAAAATATAAAAAAGTCACATAGTTACAACTCAAAAAATACGATTAGAAATAGAAATAAATTCTATACGTACTATATAATATTCCTAAATTCATCTTCAAAAGAGTAGTGAAGGAAAGTTAAATTGTATATATTATAATTTTAATACTATATATAATATAATATCCCTAAATTGGTCTTGGTGAAAAGCTTTAAAGTTAATAACAATAATAATATTAATATATATATATATATATCAAGCCATGGGAATTCGACCCCTGGACATCAACATTAAGGTCCACAGCTCCAACCACCAAAGCTACGTTAACTTCATTTGACCGGAATGTATATAAATTACTTATCTAATCATCATAGTATATATATAAGGAGCGGTGAACTAAGGTGGGCCCCTTTCAAGTGTGGGCCCTGGGCAAGGGCCCAGCTCACCCTTGCTCAGGGCCGGGCCTGCACACAGATGCTTCTCCATTCTGTGTCTCTTCCTAGATGATCCAAGGACTTACTCTTTCTATCTCATTTTATTTGTCATACATATTAGTAATCAGTATTTTTAAATTTGACTTTTTATATTTAATAGTACTAATTTCTAAATATATATAAGTGACCACCGGAAACAATCGTCATCAAATTTTATAATATATGTTGAAGACGATCAAATACAAAATATATATATGCAAACTTCCATTGAGAAGGTGACGGGACCGCTGGAAAGTATCATACAAAGAAAGAAAATGAATGGAAAACCATTTTAGAATTTGACGTAGAAATGGTGTTCCTAACAATGTAACCTTTGACTTGAAAGCTCCTTGCCATTGAATTTACTTTTCATATTTGTGTATATAATAAGTTTAGTAAATGGTGAATGGTTGACTGTACGAAACTTTTGTCCCCGAGCTTACATCAAATCGGAAATATAAATATAAATCAAATGTCTAAATACATAATGACACCGGGGCATACCCCTGAAAACAAAAACACAAATACGAACTAGACACAAGTAAACTAAGCCTAACTAGTACACCATGATGTCTCACACATGCACAAATACGAACTAGACACAAGTAAACTAAGCCTAACTAGGACTCAAACCCTAGCCAAATGCCCATGCATGCCCATTTTACCACTGCACCGTACTCAACCTTTAGAACTATAGCTCACAAGATAATGTATGAAGTGTAGTAGCAAAACGTCCTCAAGCGGGGGGAGAATAAAGAAAACCCTCCACCATATGAGAGACTCAAACACACGCCAATCAACTCATAATCAAGCTCTCAACCCGTCTAGCCACGGAGTCTACCTTGCTCAAATTATGTACCAGAAACATACTTAAACCATACCGCCAAGAACCGGGTCTGCCCACATTTAGCGTGTTGACCCGGTCTCATCAGTCAAACTCCATGCACATGCACCTTCCATCATCAGCGGAGATCAAGAACGCGTCTTGCTTCTAATTCCCACAAAATCCGGTAGATACCATGCATAACCAGTCACCTCCCAAAACGGCAATAGCGTGTTACCATCCGGAGACCACCGACGGTCAACGCCGGACAAATCCCCGGAGCTCCGCTGCCACCCACCGACAAGACACCGGCCGGCGACTGGAGAACCGCCGGTGACATAGTTTCCGCCGGAAAACCGACCAAACTACTAGAAACTACGAACAACACTGAACACAAACCCACCTCTCTCCGGAAGCACCGGAAAATCTTCAGACCATCGCCGGAAAAAACCACAAAGCCATCCCTAACGCCAGACCCCATCCAGATCAATTCCACCACCCCTTCCCTCACCCAAACGCGGACGGCAACACTCCAAAAAGGCCGGAAAAAACAAGGATCATTGGACCGAGGGTGGAATCATCCAAACCATCTCCAATACAATCCAACTCCAGTCACCAACTCAGAGCATCAAAAACCACATACAAGGATCAAGCATGAAGAGGCGAACTCACCGGGAGTGATACTAGCGCCGGAAACCTGAGAAATACCTTCGTTCAAGGGTGGTGATACAGTCAGCGAACTCACCCCTTGAACCCCCGTAAATCGGAACAAACGACTTGAAAGAGACCACCGCTGGAGCAGTTGCCGGCTTGCACAAGTCGCCAAAGGGGGTTGGGGTAAAGAACGCCATCGCAAAGCCACCGGAAAAGCCACACTACTGTTGTCGCCGGAACTCCTCTGACCATCGCCTTCTTATAATCGCCGGAAAAGAACCGCTGCTTCCCCTCACCTCCATATTCCAGAAGGCCGTCAGAGACCCCAAAGAAACGGAGGCAGACAGGTCGCCACCGAGCAACTAGCCGCCATCAAGAGAACATCTCACCTTCGTGACCGCATCTCTTGAACACGCCGGTTACCGGATCTTCTTTTCGTCGACGAACCAAACAACGCCACCGCCAAAGGATATTGTTATTTACGTAAAATCCAACGGAAGTGGTCAACGCCGGTAGTCTCCCTATCCTTTACGAAAACGCCAAACCATCAACAGTACCGTAGTGAAGAAATTCGAACAAACCGGAGAAATCTAGATTATGAACAGTGTTGTAACTCTTGGACAAAACAAAGAAACGACAAATCTTAATCAAACTTTGTGAACAAAATTAAAAAATCTGTGAAACCACAAGTTTAATCCACTAGGCAGAAACAAAATTAAACTCAGATTGAAATCAAAGTTAATCCGTATCGTTCCAATAGAAGAAACCGGCGGACAGAACTCACAAAGACATTGGCACTCTAGAGAGAAGTCAGAGAGACTTCTCTCTAGAGAGAGAAACACTCTAGTCCCGGAGCTTACATGAAATGGTGATTGGTTGAGTGTTGAGACAAATTAATTAACCTTATCCAAATAGCACAACTCTAACTATATCTTTTACAACTAGTATACATCGATCATAACCATATTATCAAATAATATACATTTAATACATAAATAATGTAGTTTTAGTATATTTACTAAAAATATATATTATATTCAGAGAAAATACATTATTCAAGTACTGAAAATATATTATTTTATATAATACATATTCAATATATAAATAATGTATTTTTAATATATTAAAAATATAATTTTTGTTGTGGTGGACTCTTGTTCACACAATAATTTGCCACTATACATTGTCACGCCGGCATTTATGTGATTTGCATTCTCTCAACATCATCAATACTGTATACTTCCATGCCAATAATATAAATCAATACTGTATATTAGCATAGCTTGAGATGGTAGTTTAGATGGTAAATAAGCTTTCTTGTGGGAGAGCATTTTGGGATAACTTAGGTTCGATTCTCACAAGCAACCGATTCCATGTTTGCTAAATTAATGATAGTTGTTTGATGTAATTTCTTTTCTCAAAAACTTAATTGAAAAAGTTGATTTGAACATCTTTTTGAATTTTAACATTTTGGAGTTATAAAAAATTGATTAACCAAACACTTATATTGATTTTTAAACCAAGTCAAACAACTAATAGTGGTAAAATAAGCCAAAATTGGCTAATAAGCTAACTATATATTTTATCAAACAAGGCCCTTATCTAGATTGGACCAATTGAAGTATAGTTGGATTGCACATTTATTTTTAATACTAGTATTTTCTATGTGTGATGTGTAAAAATCGATGTCCAATATTAATACTTACATTAAAATCTTAGATTTATTTAGATTTTAGGTATTTATATAATTGTATAATAATTATAATAGGGGAAATCACACTTTTGGTCCCTCAATTAGTACCTAAAATGCAATGTGATCCTCACTTTCCAATTTGGACAGAATTGGTCCCTCAATTATTCCACCGTTAGAATTTAGTCCTTTTGTGAAGAATGCTAAAAGGATTAACTCACATAAGGACTAAATTGACTAACGGTGGAATAATTGAGGGATCAATTCTGTCGAAATTGAAAAGTGAGGATCACATTGCATATGAGCACTAATTGAGGGGTCAAAAGTGTAATTTTTCCAAATCTTTATCTTTATTTATTTATTTTTTTAAATCGATAAAGAGGGGTGATACCCCAAGAAGCAATAACTAGGTCCTATCACTATGGGACCAATTTGCCCACAACCGATCGTTGTAGAGAGTCTCCTCCAGCCCCGGGGGACAATATGCAAGAGCACGCCAATCCACGTTCATATTCGCTCCCAAGTTTGCTAGGGCATCAGCACACTCGTTTTGTTCTCGAACTATATTTCGGAAAGAAATATTCCAGTTATCATTGATCCGATTTCTGATATTCTCTATATGCTCACATATAGGACCCCTCAACACAGAATCTCCCAGAATCCAGTTGATATTCTCTATATGCTCACATATAGGACCCCTCAACACAGAATCTCCCACAATCCAGTTGATGACCTTCTCAGCATCTGATTGAATTTCCATGTCTCTAATTCCAGCCTCCCATGCCCACGAAAGTCCTTTAGAGATTGCTTCCGCTTCAATGATAGTAGCATCAGCATAACTTGACTTCCCTAAGGACGCCCCCATGGCCAGCTTTTCGAACAGAATGTTTAACACAGCTATCCTCTGTAGACCTTGCCACACTTCCTTAGCCTTGGAGCCAAAACAGAATATGTGTTCTGTAGCTTCCTCCTGGCCTGGGCATTGGTGGCAATCTCCATTCATAGTAAATCCTCTTCTCCGTCTTTCAGCGTTGCCAAGAATTTTGCCATGGAGAACAGTCCATAATAGTGTCTTCATCTTTGCAGGGACCAGGGCCGGTCCTATCATTTTATAGGCCCGGGGCGTAGGAACACAAATGGGCCCTACATAAAATTAATATATATTTGCATAACTACATAAAAAGTATATTAATTACAAATAACTTGAAATAAGATATACAAGTTTTTAACAATTTTGCATATAGAGTAATAATATTGAAAACAACTCTAGATGTGTTGGTTAGTTATAAATGAATTTCCTTTGTTGGCTTAAAAAAATTACAAAATATTCAATAATTGCATATGTGACTTCATAAATAAAGAATTCTAATTTATAAAAGTAGATAAAAAAATTTAAAACCAAATAAACTTATAGACAATCACATTGTTATTATAATAAAAAATAAAGTAATTATTAATCAAAATTATAAAACACAACTTACAAATAAGAGTAAAACATGAAATCTTAATTATTGATGCAATAAATAAAAAACACTTTAACATTCAAAAAAAAAATAAAAATAAAAAACACTTTAAAAGTGAGAAATGATATTCATAACAAAATATGAAACATGATTAATTAGATAAAATAGTTCGAATAGAAAACACATTATAAATCATGCATATTCTCTATTGGTATCATATTTATAAATATTTTTTTTTTAGTTAGTTAGATCAATTTCAAGTCTTTTTTAGATTAATTTGAATAGAATGATGTATAATAGAACTTCTAAACAACATTGATTAGATAATTCATAAAAAAATAAATTATCTTTTAAAATAATTTCATAACTAAAACACAAAATATATTACATATACATAAATCATTATAAGGTTCACAAAATAACACATGTTCTAAATATTAGTAAATTACTCAAATAGAAATAGATTCAAAACTTGTTTTAAATCACAAAACAATCTATATTATAAATCTCACTATTATAAATATAAAAATATAAAAAAGTCACATAGTTACAACTCAAAAAATACGATTAGAAATAGAAATAAATTCTATACGTACTATATAATATTCCTAAATTCATCTTCAAAAGAGTAGTGAAGGAAAGTTAAATTGTATATATTATAATTTTAATACTATATATAATATAATATCCCTAAATTGGTCTTGGTGAAAAGCTTTAAAGTTAATAACAATAATAATATTAATATATATATATATATATATATATATATATATATATCAAGCCATGGGAATTCGACCCTTGGACATCAACATTAAGGTCCACAGCTCCAACCACCAAAGCTACGTTAACTTCATTTGACCGGAATGTATATAAATTACTTATCTAATCATCATAGTATATATATAAGGAGCGGTGAACTAAGGTGGGCCCCTTTCAAGTGTGGGCCCTGGGCAAGGGCCCAGCTCGCCCTTGCTCAGGGCCGGGCCTGGCAGGGACCTTAATTTTCCAAAGATGATTCCAGGTAGGTTCCTGCACAGGCAAGACATATCCATGAATCACATTATATGCCGAGGAGACAAAAAACATATATACCTGAGGGTTCAGCTATCCAAGAGACTTCGTCATCTTCATTACTGAGATCGAATAGCTTTAGCTTGTAATTGATGTCGGTTGAGAGATTTGTGATCTCCTCCCACTTCCATCCTCTAGTAACGTCCCATAGGTTCGCCACATACGTATCAACTTCCTCATAACATTACAACAATATTTATAAATTTTTGTCCGTCATCGCACCGGACAAATACTAGTTATATTTATAATTAATGTAAATTTTATTTAGGGGAAATCGCACTTTTGGTCGCTCAATTAGTGCTCCATATGCAATGTGATCCTCACTTTCCAATTTGGACATAATTGATCTCTCACTTATTCCACCGTTAGTCAATTTAGTCCATCTGTGAAGGGTGTTAAACAGATTAACTCACAGAAGGACTAAATTGACTAACGGTGGAATAATTGAGGGACCAATTCTATCCAAATTGGAAAGTGAGGATCACATTGCATTTTAGGCAGTAATTGAGGGACAAAAAGTGCGATTTCCCCATTATAATAATAATGTAAATCATTTTATAACTTTAATATTTATATTTTAGGAAATAACTTATATAGTACTCCAATATATTGTGTCCATATATTATTACCATTGAAGAAGATAAGAAAATATATGGTGGATGCATGTGCATGAGAATAATAGTTGAAAAAATAACGGAAGTTATAATGGTAGGAATATTTTTGATCAAAATATTGTATAGTACAACTCTTTTAGCATAATGTATAAAAAAAATAACTGAAAAACGAACATAAATGAATGATATAACTTTTATTCGCACTTGTAATTTTTTTTAGATTAGATAGATGTCTTTGATGTGCTCCAAGCATTACATGAACTGCCGGTAATCTTTTTTATAGATTCAAATGCATAACATTATGCATGGTAAATTATAGGCAAATTATTGTGTGGACCATAGTCCACATAGCTGTGTGGACCACCATCCATAACGATGTTGTTGAATTTTATGAGTTAGAATAATATACATTATGAGTTATAATAATATAATTTATGTGTTAGAATAATGTATATCATGAGTTATAATAATGTACTTTATGTGTTAGAATATATTACATTATGTGTTAGAATAATGAAACTTCTGGGGTATGATAATGTACTTTATGAGTTAGAAAACGGTAACGATTTATTTTTAATTTCTAAAATTAAAATCCAACGACGTGGTTTTATTTCATTGTCCACACTACTACATGGACCATGATCCACAATAAAATTTGTCTTTACTTACTCTTAATTTTATTTAGTTTTCTTTTTTAAAAATAAAAAATTCTTATGAGGACGTGATATGTAGCTAAAAAAATTGATTATTATTCTTTTCATTTTTTTCTTTAATATATAAAATTTAGATGTGTGCTTCAGTGGGTTAAGAAAGTATGTATAGACATATACTACAATGTAATAGAGTCAATAGTACTAAAAAAAAATCTAGATTTGTGAAGAGTTGTATTCATATGTATATTTATCATTTTTTATTAAATAATTTTTTTGAAAAAAAAATAAAGAAATTTACAGGGACAAGACACAAGAGTTTTGGGCTCAGGACTGTAGTGAAAGGACTGAGAAGCAAATAAAATGGAACATTGGTATATTTATCTTAAAGGATTGGTCACAACAGGGGTCCATAGCTCAGTGGTAGAGCAATTGACTGCAGATCAATAGGTCACCGGTTCGAACCCGGTTGGGCCCTTTCCTATGCTTTGTAATTTTAATCCCCTTCGTATAGGATATTTACCATCACTGCACAACCAATAAAGATGACGAATTTATATACCTTAAAGGATTGGCCACAACAGGGGTCCATAGCTCAGTGGTAGAGCAATTGACTGCAGATCAATAGGTCACCGGTTCGAACCCGGTTGGGCCCTTTCCTATGCTTTGTAATTTTAATCCCCTTCGTATAGGATATTTACCATCACTGCACAACCAATAAAGATGACGAATTTATAATTACCTTAAAGGATTGGCCACAACAGGGGTCCATAGCTCAGTGGTAGAGCAATTGACTGCAGATCAATAGGTCACCGGTTCGAACCGGGTTGGGCCCTAAACTGTGTTCTGTAATTTTAATCCCCTTTGAATTGTGATTTATTATCACTACATAACCAAAATGCATAGATTTATTAAAGTTTTATCACTTTCTGGCCGAGAACTTTAATAAGAAAATGATAATATATACTCTTCCAAAGAAAGAAATTTAGAGTTTGTCACAAACTGTACAACATTTGTACGTTGTGCAGAAATTCTTATTAAAGAAGTTTTAGTTGTCAGCAAATACAAACACAAAAGCATCCTTGAAGCAGAGAAATGCATGTATATCACTTGTATGTGAGCAAAGTAATGAAAGTCAGCAATAAAGTTCCTTTGTAAGTTAAGCGGTGGTAATATCCATAAAATAATATCATATCTTTTACAATTTTACAGTTAAATCATGTAAATCAATAATACAACAGGTTATTACCGGTAAACATTCTGTCGTTGACCGCCCTCATTGTGGTTGACCGGCGTTCTCAATCGGTGGCATGTCCATAGGCTTTTGGCCCTTTCATGTCGCCGCGGTCGACGACGTTGTTGGTCGTGATAACTTTTGCTTCAACCCACCCCTCCTCTTCTGTTATAGCAACACTTTATCATGTCGGAGTCAGGCCCGGCCCTGAGCAAGGGCGAGCTGGGCCCTTGCCCAGGGCCCACACTTGAAAGGGGCCCACCTTAGTTCACCGCTCCTTATATATATACTATGATGATTAGATAAGTAATTTATATACATTCTGGTCAAATGAAGTTAACGTAGCTTTGGTGGTTGGAGTTGTGGACCTTAATGTTGATGTCCAGGGGTCGAATTCCCATGGCTTGATATATATATATATATATATATATATATATATTAATATTATTATTGTTATTAACTTTAAAGCTTTTCACCAAGACCAATTTAGGGATATTATATTATATATAGTATTAAAATTATAATATATACAATTTAACTTTCCTTCACTACTCTTTTGAAGATGAATTTAGGAATATTATATAGTACGTATAGAATTTATTTCTATTTCTAATCGTATTTTTTGAGTTGTAACTATGTGACTTTTTTATATTTTTATATTTATAATAGTGAGATTTATAATATAGATTGTTTTGTGATTTAAAACAAGTTTTGAATCTATTTCTATTTGAGTAATTTACTAATATTTAGAACATGTGTTATTTTGTGAACCTTATAATGATTTATGTATATGTAATATATTTTGTGTTTTAGTTATGAAATTATTTTAAAAGATAATTTATTTTTTTATGAATTATCTAATCAATGTTGTTTAGAAGTTCTATTATACATCATTCTATTCAAATTAATCTAAAAAAGACTTGAAATTGATCTAACTAACTAAAAAAAAAATATTTATAAATATGATACCAATAGAGAATATGCATGATTTATAATGTGTTTTCTATTCGAACTATTTTATCTAATTAATCATGTTTCATATTTTGTTATGAATATCATTTCTCACTTTTAAAGTGTTTTTTATTTTTATTTTTTTTTTGAATGTTAAAGTGTTTTTTATTTATTGCATCAATAATTAAGATTTCATGTTTTACTCTTATTTGTAAGTTGTGTTTTATAATTTTGATTAATAATTACTTTATTTTTTATTATAATAACAATGTGATTGTCTATAAGTTTATTTGGTTTTAAATTTTTTATCTACTTTTATAAATTAGAATTCTTTATTTATGAAGTCACATATGCAATTATTGAATATTTTGTAATTTTTTTAAGCCAACAAAGGAAATTCATTTATAACTAACCAACACATCTAGAGTTGTTTTCAATATTATTACTCTATATGCAAAATTGTTAAAAACTTGTATATCTTATTTCAAGTTATTTGTAATTAATATACTTTTTATGTAGTTATGCAAATATATATTAATTTTATGTAGGGCCCATTTGTGTTCCTACGCCCCGGGCCTATAAAATGATAGGACCGGCCCTGGTCGGAGTTTCATTAGATTCCACCGCAGCAGCATAAGAACTATCACAAATTTGTGGCAATGAATAATCATCGGCAGTTAATGGGTTTCTCTCAAAATCTCGTGCCTGAACTTGAGAAACATATTCTTGAAATCGATCGCTTTATGTGTTTACAGGTGTGCATAATCCAGATTCTTGATTTCTTTTATCTGGTATTTTTGGATTTCAAATATGCTATTGGGTTTATCCGTTTGTTTTGAGGCGTAATGAGAGAGATTGAGATTGGGTTTACAAGAGCACAGGAAACAACAATTGGCATTGATGTTGAGAAAAAATAGGAATCAGAGAAGCAATTTTTATTGAAACTAAATGAGGAAGTATTGAAATATCCAAAGCCCTGAACAAGACAACGGAGCTGTTGAAGACATGTTGCGAAGAATTAAAATGGAGAAGCAGGAGTTTCAGAGCATGGCGAAGGAGAAGGAAACCATTGTCATGTCTCCGAACGACACAATCGAACAACTGAAAATAATAAAAAATAAAAAATAAATAAAAACCGCCGATAGTAGATTTTTCCCGGAGGTGACCGGAGTATAGCCGGAATTCTAAAAATCTGTTATTATAGGTTATTGACCGGTTTTGGGACTTAAATGCACTAAAATGATAAGTTTATGGTTTTAATTGTACATTTTAAAAGTTCGAGGGCCTAATTGACTTTTCATATAAAGTTCAAGGGTTTATTTGACCGTTTTCCCTAAATTTTATTGTTCAATATTGTTATGAATTTATAATGAAATAGTTTTTTTTTTTTTTTTTTTTTTTTTGTGTTTATTAATAATATATATAAGTAACTAGCATATAAGTCTCAGCATACTATGAATTAAAATAATAATGTTGAGAATGTTGATGTGGGTGAAGAACTATATAATAAGAAGAATTTTATGATATATTATAAATGTTTTGTAAGAAAATTCAATTTAAAATTTCAATGACTTTTGTAGACTTTTTAAAATAAAAAGTTGATAAAAGTCTATGAATGTTTTTTATATAGATTTTTATAGAGTTTTATAAAATTTTAAAAAATTTTGTACAACTCTATAAAAATCAATCAAAGTTTATTAAAATCTATCATTTTAAAAGTCTTTAAAACCCTACAAAAGTCCTAATTGAATACACCCCTCTTAGTTAAGTCTAATTAATTAAATCGATGATTTTTTTTTTTTTGAAAGCAATTAAACCGATTGAATGATTTCTCTAATTAAATTCGTATTCCGGACCAAACAGGCAAACATCATTCCCGGAAGGATTGGTTTACGAGACAACAGACGGGGAAAAGGGGAAGACACAGCGGAATAAGGTTCAACTGCATTTGTTCAGACGGGAAAAGCGGCGACCGACCTCATAGCTTTTCGATGGACATCACGGCTTGCCCCTTCTGCCATCTGAGAGTTCTTTCTGTAGAACTCGAAAGGTATATCCTACCCCCATTTCCACGCTTTTCTCCTCTTTCGATTCGTTCTACTATTCAACTGCTTGTGTGTGATCATTGAACTCTTGACTAATTGCGTGATTCGTTTTATTTTCATCTTCTATAAATTAAAATCGAATTTCAGACATGCAAACAGTCACTTCGACGATGAAGACGTTGTTAACGATTTCGAGTTGGGACGAGACGTTGCCCTTGCTCCTTCTAGTTCGCCCCAGGTACTCCGCGAGTAAGCATTTTATATATGTATACTATTTTATGTATGTGTAGGCTACGCAATTTTAACTCCATAACCAAAGAGCAGGGGTTTGAATGTGAGGATTTATTTTTGTGGATGTTGGGGGAAAGGGCAAAGTAAAATCATATAATTTCACCTCACCATTTCCTGGAATGGCCTTTCTTTATCTTATTTCATTATTACTTGTAGTTCTTTATTGGCAGTAGTGTCTAAACTGAACTGTTCATGATTAACCAGGTTAGTAGTGCAACTCTCCGTAAAACTGGTGCACGGGAAAGGCCTGAGAGTAGCTCTTCAAGTTCTCGTATGGATGGTCGAACTTCTGAGGGGAGAGACTTGGGTGAACGAATAAGCTGCTTAGTCAATCTGCAGATGAAGGGATCTTTTTACCATGTTGAAGGAGGCATGATTAAAATGCTGAGAAGCTGTTTGGAGTTAGAACCTAAGAACTGTGTCAGTCTGTTGTGTGGTTATGTAGATCATTTTGAAAGCATTGCATCAGAGGATGTTGGATGGGGGTGTGGATGGCGCAATATTCAGATGCTCAGCTCTCATTTGCTCAAAGAAAGGCAAGAAGCAAGGAACGTTCTCTTTGGTGGCTCAGGGTTTGTACCTGATATCCCTTCACTCCAGAGATGGCTTGAAATTGCCTGGGAACAAGGCTTTGATATGGATGGGTCGAAAGACTTTGATCAAGAAATCTATGGAAAAAGAAATTGGATTGGAACTACAGAATGTGCTACCCTCTTCCGTTCTTTTGGTCTTCGTGCTCGAATTGTGGATTTCTGTAGTAAGACAATTGCACCGAAGGTTTATGGACCTATGGACAAATATGTGTCCAAGTGGAAAAACAATGTTTCTGACCCTGTATCCTTTACACATGATGCAAATGTTAAGGGACAGGAGGTTCTCATTGATTGGGTGTGGAATTACTTTTCTGACCCTAAGTGTACAAGATCTGACAATAGACATGTCCTTGTCAGTCTGAAAGCGTAAGTGTATTTTTAAATGTTGTGATGATCTCATGGCACCCTTCACTGATTACTTAGAAGTGCAAGTGCATGGTTATGTTCTCGGTTTTATAAATTTGCAATGTCACACTCCATTGAGATCTCTTATAAGGTTTATTCTTCAGGCCATTGTACTTCCAACATCAAGGCCACTCAAGAACAATTGTTGGGATTCAAAAGAAACTTCAGAAAAATGGCTCAAAGCAATACAATCTTTTGATCTTAGACCCTGGCCATGTAAGTATGTCAATATCTGTTGAGTGCTACTGTTTTTAAGTGACTCTGCAATTGCCTTTGCTATGTGAATTAGTTTTCTCCACATAATTGGAAATCTAGTTTCCTCTAATTCTCAATTTGGAATGTTTACAATTGAAACATGTAGAATTGGGTTATATTTTTCACTATTCTGTTTTGTTTGATTTTTTTCCAGAACATCTAGTTGCCTTTTCTTGTTTCTGGTAGCTATTATCATTAAACAGGAATAGTTGTGATCATAACTTTCAGAGAACCAAAGATCTGGCAAAATCTCTCAGAGACAATGATGGATGGCAAAGGCTAATAAAAAGAGGTGTGCACACTCTGAGGAAGCCACAATATCAGGTATAAGGCATAGTTTACATCTTCCCAATGATTTCTTCTCATCTAATCTAAACACTTGATTTGCAACATATTTCTTTGTCAGTTGTGTTTTATTGATCATGGAGTCGCTTTTGGGGAAGAGGTTGAAAAACTGAAGAACTTACAAAGCATTCGTCATGAATTTTAGTCTGTTCCTAGACTTTTGTATTTCATTTCAAGCTTCCATATGTTCAATATGTATGCTTAAATCATTGTGGAATATAAATATTTGAAGGCACTTTGTCTCTTTTGCTTTGATCTTAAGGAATTTTATTACTCCATATATGTTTCATTTACTGGCTGAATCCCAAAGGACTGTTGATCTATTACGCAATGGAGCCTAACCAATTTTGAGTTAATGATTAACATCTCAGGTTTTGCTATCAGGGTTGAGTGGCTTCTTATTTCCAGGGTTGAGTTAATGATTAACCACTTTTGGAAGAGAATGTGCTCTTCAGGTGTCTCAGAGAAAGCTAATTTATTTTTGCAGTTCAGATGCAACATACACTTCGACAAATTAAGGTAAACATTCAGGTTGTATCTTAGTAAAATGTGCTTACATATGCTAGAAAAACAAAAGCAATATTGGAGGATGCTCCAAGAAGGAAGAGAAAGGTGGGATGGCTTCACTTGTGCGTTAACTTTCTTTCTATTTGGAAGTGAATGTTGGTATGCAGAGAATGCATTTAAGTAGGGCACATGTGAGGTTGGCAGATGAGTTCGCTTAGTATACGAGACAGTTTATGGTAGCTAGAGATGGTTGTTGAGATGAAGTACGAAAACATTTGTTAAGGTGGGTCAAGAGAGATTTCCATATTTGAGCATCCAGTTCAGACTCTCAAAGGGGGATCTTACTATTAGCAGTGAGTTTCAGTTTTCAGGGTAGCCAGCCACTCAGGCAAAGATGGTTTAATTATGGCAGCTTCAGAGTAGTTATAATAGCCATAGTAATAACATCAAGCAATTAGCATATACTGGAGAATCAAAATCATCCATGGTATGGTGCTTCAGATTCAAACTGTTGCAACAATTCCAATCAATCAAGGGTCTTTAGCTCTACAGCCTGTGTATGGAGACATGGAGTTTGCTCCCTCGTTCAGTTATTTTTATATTTGTCCTTTCATTTGCACGTTTGATCCGCGGAATAGGCCTAGAATGGAATGACATTTGTAGGGATAGACCTATTTTATTGTTTGTTAATGCATTTTGTTCTCGGGGAATTGAGAATATTGTTCTTTGTGAATGAGCTCCCCCTCGTATGAGGCTATTTCTGAGTTCTCAGAAATAGCTTTATTTTTGTGTTTCCTATTTTATTCCTAATTTAATTTTAAATTTGATAAGTTTTGTTTTTCCTATTACAGTTCATATATATATATATATATATATATATATATATATATATATATATATAGACTCAGGTTCCCGTGCGGGTGAATGCTTCCCGTGCGGTTGTGCGGTTATTAATGTGCGTGAGATTTGTACTCAATGTGCGTGAGTGTTGTATCTAATGTGCCTGAGATTTGCACTTAATGTGTGTGAATGTGTAAAATGCAGCAGAAAAGTGGAGACCTACAGGATAGTTTCTTCGCTAGCTTTGTTCTCGGATGGGTTATCACAAATGGTGCTGGTATTGCTTCTTACCCAATGATGATGAATTGATGACATCTGGTGATGCCGTCAAGTACAAGAGCTCTCTTGATGCTTTTGCTCAGATTCCTAAGAATGAAGGTGCGAAAAGGGTGCTGGTGCAAACATTTTATCATGACTATATGGGTGCTTCTCTTTTTAGTAGCATAGATCAGATTCTTAAGAATGAAGGTGCGGAAAGGGTGCTGGTGCAAACATTTTATAATGACTATATGTGTGCTTCTCTTTTCAGTAGCATAGTTATATGGTGATTTTCTGTTCTGCTTCTTTCTGAGTTAGTAATTCTGAACTACTCACGCACATTAAGCACAAATTTCACACATATTAAGTACAACACTCAGACACATTAAGTACAAAACTAACGCATATTAACATCACGCACATTAAGCACAAAGCTCACGCACATTAAGTACAAAGCTCACGCACATTAAGTATAAACCTCACGCACATTAATCCACCGCACGGAAAACAACAAATGCACCTGATCCCTTCCCTATATATATATATATATATATATATATATATATATATATATATATATTCTATTTGTTTGATTCTATGGTGAATGTACATGGTGTTTAATTTTTTTATGTGAATTTTTATTTATTAGGTTATGTTATGCGTGTCTATATTTATATATCAAAACTAGATTTTAGCAATTATATATACGAGGTGGATAGTTTGACTTATGAAATAAGAGTGTTGCTATTATTTGTACCACCCTCTAGTGAAAAGTGAGTGTAAATAACTTTGGAATTGTAAAAAGGTGAAAATTTTCAACAATTACTGGTAGGGAATATCCCGACCGACATAAGCTCCACCACGACCGGATTGCCTTCGTCTTTTTCTCTTTGTCTTTGCAGGTAGTAGGTCGGGCTTTTCATGAAGACCCCGGTCGGGAAGCGACCGGGAATTGCCCGAGCGCTGGTGTCGACCACCGAGCGGTAGCCTTTTGGCGAGAGAGCTGGCAAAAGGACACGTGGCAGCTCTCCACGACGACAGACAGGGCACTCAGGAGGATGACACGTGGTGGCTACGTGGATGACATGCCGAACGGCTGGAATCCTGTCCCCGGCATAACGGCTATAAATACCCACAGTAGCTACAGTGTAAGGGACTTTTGGACGATCGATAGGTTGTTGTTAGAGAATCCCGACCGCACTCAGTCGGTACTCAGAGCAACCAAGTAGATTGTACTTAGGGCCTTTACCGTGATCAATAAAGTCTTTTATTTGCTTTAAACGGTCTCGGGTATTTTATATTGCTTGCGTATAATTAGCAGTATCATTTTGGCGCCGTCTGTGGGGACCTGTGCAACAAAGCTACGTCTTGACGAGCACTCGGCCTCTTTACAACAATGTATCCGTGGGCATACAACAATTTCGCCGACGACTAAGCAGATGCGGCGAGCTCATCTGACCATCACGTTACTCAACAACAAGGTCAGACGGTCGATCTAAACCTCAACCTCTCACCACCGCATCCATCAAACGCATACCCGACCGCCCAACAGCCGGTGAACTACATACAATCGGGATTTCAGACGCCCGGTCAGCAATACCCTCAACCGATGATGTATCCCGGTCAGTATCCATACCTGGTCCCACCTCCGCCATACGGGTATTGCCCAGGCCAACCGATGTACTACACTTTCCCGGTTGGCTTCCCACCATATACGCCTGCTTATACAGCTCCAGCCGCCGCCCCTCCAGTACAACCGACTGCACAGGTAGAGCCGCAGCGTCAGACCGCGTCCCGGGCTCGACGCTCGGCTCATTCGCGGTTGGGGTCGGGGGGTGCTGATGCGATGGAGGCACCAGCTCAGGCCGTCCAAGCGGAGGACCCTGAAGAAACTGCCCGAGCGGCGGCTTTTGATCGTCTTCGACCGGAGATGCGCCAGCGTTTGGGACCCCAAGACCCGAACCGCGGGCAAGAAGACGTACAGATGCAGGAGGCTAGCCAGGAGGCTTCATCTGGGTATAGCGGGTCGAGATCTCACCGACGGCGACGCGCTCGGGAAACAGCCCAAGCCGTCCAAACCGCCGAGCTCAACGAAACCCGAGGATTGCTCTATAACCTCCAGGCGGAAGTTGCGCAGCTCAGGAATGCGTACCCTGCGACACCCCCGGTCAACCAATCGACTCTGCACCAGACGCCTTTCACAGCAGCGGTAATGGCCCAGCCCTACCCGCTTGACTTGAAGGTCTCTGGAGAGAAGAGTTATGACGGACGGGCAGACCCCGAAGCCCATGTGAATGATTTTTACAGCAACATGATGATGAAGGGCGTTTCAGACGCCGTAATGTGTAGGGCATTCTACTCTACGCTCACCGGTCGAGCAGCAGAATGGTTTCGGACCTTACAACCGGGCTCGATCGACAGATTTGACACGTTGGCGATCAAGTTTGTGAGGAAGTTCATTACTTCCAAAGTGGTGAGAAAGTCCTATATGTACCTTGAGAAGGCCAAGCAGCTAGAAGGGGAAAGCTTGACCGATTTCCTCGTCAAGTGGAAGGCAGCGGTCGGTAGGGGTGGAAATGGGCCAGGCCAAGCCAGGCTTTTAAAAATTAGGCCTGGGCCTGTTAGGAAAAGGCAAAGCCTAGGCCTGGGCCTGGGCCTGTATGTAGGCTTTTTTCTAGGCTCAAGCCTGAGCCTGCAGTAGGCTTGGCCTGGCCTGAAGCCTTTTTAAAAGCCTATTTAGTAAATAGGCTTTTAAAAAGGCTTCAAAGTAGGTTTTAAATAGGCTTTGAGAATATTAAAATAGGCTCAAAGCCTATTTAAAGCCTACATTTTAAAGACTTTTAATATACACCTGTAAAAGAAATATTATTAAATTACAATCAATCAATAATCATAAACTACAAAACCAAGTTCATATTTTATAATAAAATGTCCAACAACACAAGTTTAATAAGTAAGAGTTCATAATACAAAAATCATACAAGTTTGATAACTTCAAGTCTACAAATCCATCACAAATTCACAAGTTTAACAACAACATAAATCATAAGTCCACAATACAAACATAAAACATTAAACATAATAACAACAATAGTATTCAAACATAAAAGTAAACAAGTCATGGCTTCAACATAATCTCCTGTTGTCCAGAACTTTCCTACACAATGAAAAAAATTGAGAATAAATAATGAAGTCCATTACAAGTTCAAGTGCTTATAATTCATAAATCATAAACCATAAATATTAAAGTAACAAGTAGTAATATAAATTAATATAAAATATTAAAGTAATAAGTAGACTCTTACCTTTTGTTTTTTCTTCAGCCCATACTTGTTACGAAGCCAATCCCCACCACAAATAAGAGCTTCAATAGATTCCTCATTTAAGCTAGCACGGTATTCATCAATGACTCTCCCCCCAGCACTAAATGTGGATTCAGATGCCACACTTGAAACAGGAACAGCTAGTATATCAGAAGCCATCTTTGATAAAATTTTAAACTTTGGACTATTATTTTTCCACCATGCCAAGGCACAAAAGGATGAAGTAGAAGAAGGAATAAAAAGATTTTCCTCAAGATAAGTCTCCAACTCTGATTTCGTAAGAGGAATTGATTGACTTTGGTAAACCATACTCAATATTTCTTGCATCCCTTTATCCATTTGTTGTCCACCATCAACCAAAGTGCTACTTTCAACATTGACTTCACTGTGTCCACTAGTAGAAGCATCTTGACTATACAAGTTCACATAATCAAGATATAAATCTTCTAATGCCTTTTTCACCTTCTCCACATTCTTTTCAGCATCACTTGGTGTTTTATACAATAAGGGAAAAGTTATCTTAATACCATTTAATTTCATCCTTGGATCTAAAACACATGCAATAGACATTAACAAATTACACTCCCCCCAATATTCGTCAAATTTTGCTTTCATAGGTATTGCCATATCACTCATGAACATGTCAAAACACTCAGCTGCATTATCAATAACCTTTTTCACCCTTTGAATTTCAGCTAGATACAAGTTAGAAGTAGGGTAATCACTACCTGAGATGACATGAGTGGCATCATTAAAAACCTCCAAAAGTTTACAAACCTTCTCAATCTTGTCCCAGTCCTCAAATGATGGTGCATACTTATAATGTGGCTCTTTTTCATTGTAATCTGAAAATGCATGCTTAAATTTACTTGCAGTACACAACATCAAGAATGTGGAGTTCCATCTTGTTGGACAATCAAGAATAAGTTTCCTTTCTTTCAATCCTTTTAATTCAACAACTTCATGGAATGACTTTAGCCTTGCATCTGAAGAATTTATAAATTTCACACTTTCACGAACATTGTGAATGACATCTTTAATAGTGTTAAGGCCATCTTGCACCAACAAATTCAGAATGTGAGCACAACATCTAACATGAAAAAGTTTTCCACCAAGTACTAACTTACTGCTCAATGACATGTTTTCTTTCAAACTTCTAACACAAGAATCATTGTAAGATGCATTGTCAACAGTTACTGAGAATATTTTATTCTCAATGCCCCATCCTCTCAAACACTTGAAAATAGCATTTGCTATATCTGTTCCCCGTCGAGGAGGAGGCACTTTGACAAAATTCAAAACTCTCTTCTGAAGGTTCCAACTTGCATCAACAAAATGACCTGTCACAACCATGTACTCAACTACTTGGTGACTTGACTTCCACATGTCTGTTGTAATGCTAATCTTACTCACATTATTCAAAATCTTTTTCAAAGTATCCTTTTCAACTTCATACAATTGCAAACAATCACTTCTTGTCGTTTTACGACTGACTCTTCTAAAATTTGGATTTGCATATTCAAAAGCCCACATGAACATGTCATCCTCTACAATGCTAAATGGTCGCTCATGCACCATGATTCCACTAGCAATAATCTCTCTCATTTTTTCATTGGAGTATTTAGCATTAGGAACAATAAAAGGATTACCACCAGATTCACTAGGCGGGCGAAATTGTATCGTTGTTTGCTTATTTTCTCGAGAGATATGCAACTTGCGCTGCAAGCAAATCTCTGAGTGCCTCTTAAGATGGCTAGTGCTTCCACCCTTTCCACCAGTAGAGTATTTTTCCTTACAATACAAACACACTGCTTTCTTTATACCATTAGCAAGTACAATTTCTTCAAAATTATTCCATACCGCAGATGTTTTTTTCCGCTTTTTTGTTAAGATTGAATCATTATCAACCCTATTGACTTCTTCAGAATTGTTACTTTCAATTGGTTGACTTGAAGAAATTGATGGAGTTGTAGTAGTAACTTGCACATTAACTTCTTCAGGAATAGATTCATTTGTATTGTTACTTGTCATCCTATATAATTTTATAAATATTTAACCATCAATACACATAAACAAAATAACATCTAACTATATCTAATATTAAATATTATAAACAAATAAATTAAATATAATTAGTTTATTACTATAAACAAGTAAAGATTATATATTTTATATACTTAATAAATTTATTACTGTTAAAGTGTTAATAAACAGTATTACATAAACATCATTAGTCTAATAATTAGTCTATTAAATAGCAAATAATATATAAACAGTATTACATAAACAGATTATACATAATTAGTCCAATAGTAAATAGCAAATTAGCAGTAATCCTCTATATTACACCGTAAATAGCAAATTAAAATAACATAGCAGATTAGTAGTATATTAGACAGTATATTGTTGTATACTTGTATATTAGCAATTTCGCATATTAGCAAGTATATTAGCAGATTAGCAGTAATGGCCTATAAACAGTATATTATACAGTAAATAGAAAAAAAAAAGGTATATTAAGAACACTAACCTCGCCGGTAGTCGACTAGTCGGTAGCCTGAACGTTCCAACTCGCAGTCGCCGCCTCGCACTCGCCTCGCCGTAGTCACACTAACATCGTCTCTCCGCTCGAAGCCTCGCCGGCGTGTTGTTTATTGTAGTCGATCGAAGAATCGAAGCCTCTTCGCTCGAATTTTGGGGAAGAAACGCAAACAATCAGACACGCAGACACTGGAGTACTGGACAGCCAAAACGCACACACGAATTTAGGGTTAGCCGGTTAAGGTTATTAGATCTTTAGATTAATAGAAAATATTAGTTATAAAATAATAAAATATAATATAAAATAATTAAATGTATATTTTATATATATTATATATATAAACAGGCCAGGCCTGCAGGCTCGTAGGCCAGGCCTTCACATATAGGCCTGAGCCTATTTAACTAAATAGGCCATTAAATAGGCCTAAGCCTGGCCTTTTAACTAAACAGGCCAGGCCAAGCCAGGCCCTAAACAGGCCAGGCCATAGGCCCCTATGTAGGGGCCTGGCCTATTCCCACCCCTAGCGGTCGGGGAGGTCGAGCCTGTGGACGATGCGACCGCCACCCATATGCTTCACATATCTCTCCGGGCGGGACATTTGTATCAAGACTTCACGCCGGCGAGGCGAACGCCGTAAAGCGCTTGCAGGAGGTCGGCTCTTCGTCCCGTAAACCGGCCGGCCGGGCGGAACATCGGTCGGGAGATGACAATCCCCGATCCCGCACCAGGCCTGGCGAGTTTACGGCCTTGAATCGATCCGCAGCGGAGGCCATGCAGTACGCCCAATCTTGCAATCTCATCAAACTCCCCCATCCCGATCGAGATGGCCCTGACAAGAGTAAGCACTGTGCTTACCATCGATGCGCCGGGCATGACACCGAGGAATGTACGCATTTGCGCCAATTGTTGGAAGATTTGCTCAACTTGGGCAAGTTGGACAAGTGTGTGGGGAAGAGAGAGGACAGCAAGAGGAACACCGATCGGAGGGATTACAGACGCTCTCATCACCGCTCTGATCGGTCAGGTCAGGACCGAAGAGATGATCGAAGGGACGATCGTCATGATGACCGACGGGACCCTGACCCTCCGTCTGGCAGCCGCCCATCCGGAAAGCCAACCATACACGTCATTTTCGGCGGGCTGGAAGATGCTTCCCGACCGAGGACAAATTGCCCGGTCGCAATAGTGGATTCCCGAGAGACCGGGAAGAGGCAGAAGATGGAGCCCATAACCTTCACCCTTGAAGACCAACCTAGCAGCAGTGACCACGGCATGGAGGCGCTTGTGGTCACGATCGACGTTAAGGGGACGGACGTCCAGAGGGTTATGGTCGATACGGGCAGCAGTGTGAACGTCCTATACTTGGACGTCTTTGAAAAGCTTGGCCTCGACAGGAAGGAGCTGACTCCGGTCGGTGTATCACTGTCAGGATTTACCGGGGCTCTTATTTACCCCGAGGGAAAAATAACGCTCCCGGTCGAGATCGGCGCACCTCCAAAGTCGATCAAAACGGAGCTGGAATTTGTTGTGGTCAACCTCCATTGCGTCCACAACATTATCTTGGGCCGGCCCGCCATTATGAAGATTGGTGGGATAATTTCTATGCCCCACCTGTGCATGAAATTCCCCACCCCCAATGGGGTCGGTGTGGTCCGTGGCGACGTTCAATCCGCCCGGAAATGTTACACCCGAGCGGTTAATAGACGCGACTCCGGTCCATCTTCCCGGGTGAACACTATAGCCAAGGAGGAGGCTAAGGTTCGGAAGGAACAACCTGAGCCTTCCGAAGAAATAGAAGAGGTTCCCCTGTCCGATGACCGCCCGGATAGGAAAATCAAGATTGGCCGAGCCCTCACCCCGGAGCTTCGAGCGGAAGTTTTGGCCATACTCCGGGAGTATGCTGATATCTTTGCGTGGGGGCCTGAAGACATGCCCGGGATTGATCGATCGGTCATCTGTCACAAACTGGCCGTCGACCCCGCAGCCAAGCCGGTCGTACAGAAAACGCGACACCTTTCCTCCGATCGCCGCGAATTTGTTAGAGAAGAAGTCAAAAAGATGGCGGCGATCGAGCACATCCGTCCGGTGGTTTATCCCGAGTGGGTGGCAAATATCGTTCTTGTTCCTAAGCCCCCAGCATGGAGGATGTGCATTGATTTTATGGACCTCAACAAGGCCTGTCCGCTCGACCCGTATCCTCTACCGAGCATTCACCAGATGGTCGACGAGACGGCCAGGGCCGAATTAATGAGCTTCATGGATGCCTTCAAGGGGTACCATCAGATCATGATGCACCATGAAGACGAGAGCAAGACGTATTGTTACCGAGTGATGCCGTTCGGCCTACGGAACGCAGGAGCGACCTATCAGAGGATGGTCAACATGCTCTTTGCCGATCTATTGGGCCGAACGATGGAAGCTTACATCGATGATATGCTGGTCAAGAGTCGGGACCGATCCGACCACACTCGAGACCTCCGGGAGTGCTTCCAGATCATGAGGAAGTATCAGTTACGGTTGAACCCGACCAAGTGCACATTCGCGGTTCAGACCGGCAAGTTCCTCGGCTATATGATGACCAAGAGAGGAATTGAGCCCAACCCGGCCAAAGTAAAAGCGATTCTGGACATGCAACCACCTTCCACCGTTCGGGAAGTCCAGCAATTGACCGGTCGGTTGGCAGCCCTCAGCCGGTTCCTCTCCAAGTTAGCCGAGCGCGCTTTACCTTTTTTCAAGGTATTGCGGAAGGTTAATGGATTCGTCTGGGACGAAGAATGCCGAGCGGCTTTTGATGAGCTGAAGGAATATCTCATGTCACCGATCGTGCTCTCAAAGCCCGAGCTCGGAGAAGAGCTAGATGTGTACCTCGCCGTTTCCGATCGTGCAGTAAGCGCAGTATTGTGCCGAATCGATCCGGAAGGGGTCCAGCGACCGGTGTACTATGTAAGTCACGCGCTACATGGTCCCGAGCTCCGGTACTCCCGGCTAGAGAAGTTCGTCTACGCCTTATACATCGCCGCGAAGAAGTTGGCTCCCTATTTCCAAGGTCGAGTAATTCGCGTGTTGACCGATCAACCGATCGGGCCAGTCCTCCGAACTGCCTCATCATCAGGTCGCCTAGTCAAGTGGGCGTTAATGTTGACCCAGTATGCGATCGAATACCGACCAAGACCAGCTATCAAAGGTCAGGCCCTTGCTGATTTCTTGGTCGAGTGCACCGCCCGGGATACCCGACCCCCCGAGGTAGCGGATCCCGAGGCTGAGTGGTGGTCGTTGGCTACTGACGGGTCGAGTAGCAAGAAAGGAGCAGGAGGAGGAGTGGTGGTCACGAGCCCGGAAGGATTCAAGGTTTATTTTGCTCTCATGTATCAGTTCCACTCGACCAATAATGAAGCCGAATACGAAGCCTTTGTTAATGGCTTACAGTGCGCTCGGGACTTGGGGGCTGAATACATCCGGGCGCAAACGGATTCCGCGCTCGTGGTCGGGCAAGTTCTCGGGGATTATGAAGTCAATGGAGAGCGTTTGCAACTGTACCGAGACCTTGCCATGGAGAAGCTTGCTCAGTTCCGGGGGTATACCGTCCGACATATACCCCGATTGGATAATGCCGACGCAGATATCTTATCTAAATTGGCCCAAGACGCCCCGGAACACATGTCGAAGATAGCCCGGATTTTGGTGATCCCGAGGCACAGCATCCATCGTCTACCGGTCAATCCAATCCAACCGGCAGAAGACAATTGGATCACCGATCTGAAGGAGTTCCTCGAGCACGGTCGACTTCCAGACGACCCTCAGCGTGCTCGAAAGGCCAAGTTGAGAGCCCCGAGGTTCCAAGTCTTGAATGGCTGTCTCTACAGGCGATCGTATGGAGGCCCTCTCATGCGTTGCTTGACCGCATTTGAGGCCGATTTAGTCATGAAGGAACTTCACTCGGGAATTTGCTCTTCGCATCAAGGAGGCCGATCGCTTGCCCGTCGTATCATGCTAATCGGGTACTATTGGCCGTCCCTCCAGCTAGACTGTGAAACGTTAGCTCGGGAATGTGAGACGTGCCAACTGTACGCCCGGATGCCTGGACGACCGACAACCTTCTATCAACCAGTCACGACCGCAATTCCTTTCGCTAGGTGGGGGGTGGATATCTTGGGCCCCTTCCCTCAGCTCTCTGGTCGGAGAAGGTTCGTGATTGTCGCCATTGATTATTTCTCCAAGTGGATAGAGGCCGAGCCCCTAGCCACGATCACCTCTCAGCAATGTGCTCGTTTTCTTTGGCGAAATGTGGTTTCCCGCTTTGGCGTCCCCGTACATCTCATCAGTGACAATGGCCGCCAGTTCGTAAGCCAGTACTTCCAGAACTTTTTGGCCACGATCGGAACGACTCACGTCCGGTCGTCGGTGGCTTACCCGCAGGGAAAC